CACTTGGGGAAGAAGATTGAGAATGTTCCATGATGACTCAGTGCTGGGAAATGGGAGAAGGATCAATAATTCCCAGTGAATGCAGAAAACAGGTTTGCAGGGTCTCTGAAAGATGGATGGATGGATGGATGGATGGATGGATGGATGGATGGATGGATGGATGGATGGATACCCAAAACTGGTGACTGCTGCCATGTACCTTTCCCAAACTGGGTGAACACCTTAAAGACATCACTTGGTGCCATGTCCTGAATCAAATGATGCTGCTGAAACATGGTTGTGGCATTCCATGGCATTTTCCTGCTCTTGTCAACTGGGAATTCCAGCATGTTCAGCACCTCCTTAGGTGTATCCTTTGTTTGGCTGATTCCTATAATGGTCAACCTTTTATAGGTTTGATATAAAATCAGCATAATTACAAAGATCTGTTCCCATCCATAAAACCAGTTTGAACTGTTTGGCAGGAATTTAAACTATTTCTTGTTAATCCACACACACAGCTAATAAGGGAAGGCAGGGGTTTTTTAATATCCTATTTATATCAGCAGATGTCCTAAAGAAGTTTGGGATATTTGTGTATTTATAGTAAATCATAGCAGTGTGTAGCGTGCAGAAAGAGAGATTGGAGGGGGGGCAAAGTCAACTCTATTAATCTTGCTAAGAGCAAACATGTCACATGTAATATCCTTGAGTTGCATCACCATCTGGGATTTTTCTGAAGGCCTTGGAAGTGATCCAGCAGATGGCAGGGCTGCAGGAGCTGGGGCTGGAACCTGCTCCCTGAAGCGTGGGGAGATGTCTTCTGCTGCTGGCTGGGCCACAGCTGGGGGTTTGCACACCAAAATTCATCTCTTGCAAGGGTTTCCCTCAGCTTCAAGTGAGATGTTTGCATCTGAAGCCCAAGTGCTTCTGCTAGAAGGGACTTGGAATTGTTTGGAGTGGCTTGGAATGGTTTGGAGCTTTCCACTTGTGGTGGCTCTGTTTGGGTTGAGGTGTTTTGTCATCATATAGAGACGTGCTTGACATTCCCTCCTTGTCTGATGTCCTCCCCTTATATTTTCCCCAGCTTTTGGAGGAGTCTAGCTCTGGAGTGCTGCTCACAGGGTGTCCAGAGCCCTGCATTGCACCATTCCTGCTCCCATTTTTCCTGGGGGAATCTCATCCTGTGATGAGAAATTCAGCTGGTTTCAGTTACTGCAGCAGAGTCAGGGGCTTTTCCTACAGGTAAAGGGAAATCAGTGGTAGGAATGGACCAGGTAGCTGCAATGTTTCCAGCAGCAGCTTCAGTGGCAATGGCTTTGGAGGTTAGGCAAAAATAATCCCCACAGTAACATTCCAAAGGGAATTTAGATTTTAGAGAGACTTTCCAGCCATGCCCTGTGACACAGGATTCACTCTGAGCCAGAAGATCCCTTCCAGACCTGTGCTTCTCCTTGGAAGCTTCTCATTCCCAACTCAATGGTCTTGGGGAGCAGTTTGGGTGTGCCAGCACTGTTGTTGAAGCCCTCCATGTCTTCTCTTTCTTTAGCCTTTCCCAGTGGTGCTCTCACCCCTTTCCCAGTGGTGGCCACCAAGGTGAGCTCACTTGCCCACTTCTTGCTGTTCCCAGGAGCCTTTCTGTGGAATTCTTCTTGTTTCAATTCCTCTTTCTGTATCAAATGATCAGGATTGACTTCCCAGGACTTCCTCAACCCTTCACTAAGTGGCAGCAGGATTTCCCCATGTTTTCCAGAGTTATTCCTATTTTAGGATTGTGTTTCTGCCTTGCCTGGCTGAGCAGCAGCAGCTGAGCACGTGCAGGTGTCCTCCAGCATGCACTTGAACACTTTATTATTTCCCATGTATATATATTTTATAGGACTGTATATTTGGTATGACTGAATCTCATTCCATGCTTATTATCCTTCAAAGCCATCCAGCCTGTCCTGCTCTGTATTAATATTTCTGTATTAACAGTTCTGGCCAACTTCCTTCCCCTTAAACAAGGGGGTGAACAGAGCTGACAACTCCTTCAGGGAGGGTTCAGAGTTTAAACATATATTTAATTCCGTTTGAAAGATGGGAAAAGTAGAAGGGGATGGACTTCTTTTGCTTTGACCTCAAAGGAGATCAGACAGGATGTGGAAAGGGAGAGGTGGGATTAGTGGGAAGAAGGACAGGAGTTGGGAAGAATAACTGTGCTTGGGTGGCTGTCACATTCAGTGCTGGCAGGTGGGACCACCTGGATCTCTAGGGCATTCCTGATGGATATGGAAAGGGATTCATGAGGAGCAGAAAGGTGCACACTGCTAAAGAAGGGAAAAGAAGTGCCAGGAAACAGCTGAGAGGTTGGGTTGCTCTTAGATCCCATCAGGACTGGAATAAATCCTCAGCTGCAGCACGGCAAAGTCCCTGAAATCAGGTATGGGAGACACTGATCAGTCAGAAATTCTGCAAGTCAAACCAGTTTCCTTCTCCATGGAGGTGGCAGGTCTGTAGACTCTGGGGCAGCAGAAGACATCCTGTAATTTGGTTTTTTATACTCCTGTACAGTGGAGGAGCATGGTGGATGCACCTGTGATCTACATTTTGGAGAGGAAAAAACCAGAGTTTTCTCTTGGGCCATCCTTGGAATCAAGGCCTGCATGAATGTACAGTAAATAAATGTGGGTTGGGTATCAGGCTTTGAGTCCTGGAGCCTCCCCATGGGAGGAATGGGATGGGGAGGTGGGGTTGGCATTGTGAGAAAGACTTAGGTTTGCATGACTTGTAGGTATTTAAGCATCAATTAAGAGGTAACCAGTGGGTCAGATATATCATGGAGTCCCAAACTGGTTTGGGTGGGAAGGATCTTAAAGCTCATCTCATTCCCCTGCCATGGGCAGGGACACCTTCCCCTATCCCAGGTTGTTCCAAGCCCCATCCAACCTGGCCTGGGACACTTCCAGGGATGGGGCATCCATTATATTATAATGATATTATCTGTGTGTTCAACCACTGTATTTAACAAGCTTAAATATTTTGAAAAGTATTTTAAAATATTTTAACAAGTTTAATGATTAAATATTGGGTTGTGGTCTCTGAAAACCCTGGCAGAAAGGATTTAATTACCATTTTTCTCCTCTGCACGTCAATGTCGGGACAACATCCATCAAGCACATTTTCAAGCCTTAGCACCTGAGAGGAATATTGATGTGAAATTTTGGTGGCCCTCAGCTTAGACTCAGTAATTTAGTACCATTTTAGCCTAAATGGAGCAGTAGCTCATGAACTTCCCATTTTGAGCAGAACCAAGGGAAATTCTGCAGTATCAGAAACTTCAGCTCCACGCTCCAATTAAACAATCCCCCCCCTGCTCTCGGGAGGCAAACAGATGCAAACCCCAGAGAGACTCAGAAGCTCCCAAGCTTAATAATCCTGGGCTATTTTTTTTTTTTTCCCCTCGTGTCAGGAATATTTTTGTGTCTGTCAAAGCTCCACTTGCAGATCCATAACATCTCTCTCTGCCGTGCCTGGAACAGATGCGTGTGTTGTAATATAGACTGCGAACATTGACATCCCATGTGGTTCTCATTCCTCCCAGTCATCTTTGAAGCTAATTGGATCCAGCCAGCCCAAATGTGTCTGGCTGGCCACAGCTATTTGTACTTTCACTCTGGTTCTGGTGCTAATGGTGGGATCTATGGAACATGAAATAAACTCTCGTGACTCCGAGGGCTGCCGAGGCACAGCCGCTCGCGTCTCGCTGCGTTGGGATGGGCTGGGAGCTTTAAATGGGATTTTTTTTTTTTTTCCCCCTCTTCTAATGTTGTTCAGTGGCTGGTGGCTACACTGAGGAGTGGTGAGGCTCAGAAGTGCAGAATCAGGAGCCTGGTTGTCCAGCCTGAACTGTTTTGCAGTCTGGTGTGGCTTTCTACTGGGATACTGGGATGGCATCGTTAGGAATCCATGTGTTGTCCAACCTGTGAATATTACAAGAAAATAGTGTCAAAATATTATTAAAAATAGTGAGTTAGCAGAAATTATCATTCAGATGGAAGGACCTTAAAGCTCATTCATCCCATGGGCAGGGACACCTTCCACTAGCCCAGGTTGCTCCAAGCCCTGTCCAGCCTGGCCTTGGACACTTCAAGGGTTGGGGCAGCCACAGCTTCTCTGGGCAAACTGTGCCAGGCCCTCACAGGGAAGAATTTCTCCCTAAAATTATGTATACCCCCATTTATAGAGAATATCTTTTATAGGTAATGCCTTTGGTAGATAATACCATCATTTTCCCATAACCAAACAGCACAATGTAGGAAAACCAATATTTCTGTTGGAAAGCCATCAGTAAGGTTGATGGGTAATTTCTTTTCCTGTCTTTCCCCTAACTGTCCATGAGAAAAAGGCTCTTCTGTTGGGAATTTACCTTTCCCCACCCCCTCAGACTCAAAGCAACCTCATTACCTTCGATTGGTTATAATTTTATCTCAGTTAAAGGTGATTGCAGTCATTGCTGTGCTAAACCCCAGGTTTTAGAGGGATTTCCCTGATGAATCGCAAGGGAATATTTGGGGATTTTTGCAGTTCATTCCCATACATGATGAATTCTTGGGGAAGCAGTGGAACGTGTTTCACACTTCAGCCTCTGCTCACAAAGTCCTGTCATTTCTCAGCTTCACTGTAAATATTTTCTCTCCATGCTCGGGAGGTTTGGGTTCCCATTGTTTCAAACAGCCAGTTCAGAATAATTCTTTGCTTTTGTGGTTTTTTAGTGTTTTATTCTTATTTTTAAACAACTTGGCTCACAAGGAGTCAGCAGGGAGTTGGACCAGATGATCTTTAAAGGTCCCTTCCAATCCCAACTATTCTGTCATGCTCTGAAATTTGGGTTACTGCTCTCAGCTGAGACCATTCCTGTGCTGCTGCATGGGCCACAAATACATCCATTGTCCACTTGGAAATTAAAATGGCAATGGGGATTTTCTCTGATGAAATGATCCCTGAATTTCACTAGTTTTCTTTTTTTTTCCCCTTTGTAGGTCCAAGTTCAGTGAAAAACAAGAAAAAGGGTAAGTTTGAGTTTTAACTGAATTTTCCTTTCTGTGCTTTGCAAATTCTCTTTGGCCAACACAAAGGAGAAACCAGTGGCAGCTTCCCTCTCCAGGAAAGGCTGGAATAACACCCACAAGCACCCCTTAAAACTTCTTTAAACACTGAAAGAAATTAATTATGTTGTGCAGAAGTAATCCTGAAGAGTCTCCAGTTGAAGAGTTGAGTTGAGTCAGTACCAAATGCCAGGAGCTGTTGCTGTTTGCTAGCCTTGGCTTTCATCCCAGTCCTCCCAACCTGCAGCTTGGATTCTCCTTCAGACCCCCCAAACTCAGCATGAACACACTTTGCATCCCACTTTTCCTTGTGTTAACCTCCAAATTATCATTTTATGAGCCCCTTCTGGGTGTGTTGCTCAGTGTTTTGTGGATTTGGTGATGTTCCTTGGGCAGTTGGCAGTGGATTGTTGGGATTTGGGTTATTCAGGCAGCCCTGTTTGGGGGGTTCCTGTTGGCATCCTTGTTTCTGTAGGACTGCTGGGAACACTTGGGGTCCCACACTTAGGGTCCCACATTTAATTCCAGCAGTTTGGGCGAGTCCAAGGATCCAAGCAGTCGAGTTTTCCATGTCTGTGCTACTGTAGTAGCACATCAAATGGCTTTAATCCTTGGATGCAAACCCCAGAGCCACAGCTGAGAGGTGGGAACAGGCCACACTTAGCAACTTTATTTGTATTTACTCCGAGAAAAAGTGTAAAATTTTATGTTAGAGAAGTTTGTCCTAACAAAGCTCAGCCCACGTTCAATCAGCCCAACAAATAACAACGGATGGCTGCAGCCTCCAGAGCAATTCCAGAGGGGCAGGGGGGTCTTGTGGGGCTGGATTGCATACAGCTGTATAAAGTAGCTTAATTTTATGGTATTGTCACATTTAATTATTTTTCGAGTTCCAGTTCATTGTTTGATGAGTGAGGATTATAGAGAGCTCCCTGCTTCTGCCTGCTCCGAGTTTCAGAGCCCCTGGGTATGAGCATGGGAGACTTGGCAGGCTGGGATTTGGGTGCTGGGACCCTCCTTGGAGAGCTGATAAGGGAGCTATCAGATAATAAATGGAATATCTTTTGTCTTGTGAGGTTTGTTAATGCAGAGAAGTGGTTGAAGTGCCTTGAAGGCACAGAAGTGTGTCACTGGGATGAGCAATTGTGTCACTGCTCGAGCAGCAGCTCCCTGAGTAGCAGAGCAGATTTGGGAGGCAGATGAGTTAAACCAGCTGTGATGTGCATCCCTCTTGGGAAGGGAAGCCTGGAGTATTCCCAACTCCCTGTCTGCAATCCTCCCTTGGGATGGCCTGGACTGGGGGGATGTCAGTGAGAGGAGTTTGGTGTGGTTCAAGGTGATCATTTCCAAAGCACAGCATCATCCCGAGGAGGAGGAGAAGTGCTGGGTTAGAGGAAGGCTGGATTGTGGCCAGCTCAGGTTGGGAGTCATGGCTGCTGGTTTGGAGAGAAATATTGCTGTGGAGATTTGTTCCCTGAAACCTTTTTCCACTTTTTTAGGACACCAATGTGACTTTACTCACCCCTGCTTACTTTAACTTCATTTTCTGCACATTTAAATTGTGCCCACAATTGTCCCACCCTGATGTCTTTGTGCCCTTGCTCCTGGCTAGTGGCCATCCAGGATTCCCACTCCTCTGCTAAAACAGATGGGTTTTTCCTGACACTCCTGTCCATTACAAAGATGGATATTAGTAGAGAAACAAGTACATAAATGTTCTCAGAAACTATTCCAACAACTATAATTTCATATCCCAACTGCTGCTGTCATCTAAATACCAGTTTAATTCTGTCCTACTGAGGACCTTGTGGCAGCAATTGAAGTGATTTTGCTCCGTTTATGTTCTTTGGCAGAAAAGCTGTTCCAAAGTGGCATTTTAAAAACTACATCAAAAGAGCATCATTTTTGTCAGGAACATGGAAAATCAGGAGAGCAGGGACCAGGCTTTCCCTGCAGAGTTTGTTTCATCCCACTCTGTGGGATCTTCCTCATGTAGTTTTCATTTCTCTTCCTTGGGACATGTGAGGTGTTTGAGGATCATGGTAGGGAAGAAGGTTTTTACCTTGATCCTGGGGTAGGTTGTGCAGGGAAGCTTTGGCTGCCCCATCCCTGGCAGTGTCCCAGGCCAGGTTGGACAGGGCTTGGAGCACCCTGGGATAGTGAAAAGTGTCCCTGCCTGTGGCAGGGGTGGGACTGGATGGGCTTTAAGGTCCTTTCCAACCCAAACCAGTCTGAGATTCTGTGATTGTAACAATTCACCAATGTTTCCATCCCCTGGAATGGGGTCAGTCCTTCCCAAGCCCCTCCCTCCATCCAAAACCCAAAACACTGAATTATTTTGAGGCACAAGCAGCACAGGGGCTCCTCCAGCAACGCTGGGGAAGAGCTGGAGCTCAGCTCTGAACTGCCCTCTGGAGGAGACCAAGCCATGGGGATCATCTCCCAGTCCTCATGTGCAGCAGGTAGCAAAGATTATCCCTGTTTTCCATGGAAACCCAGCAGACTGAGAAACTGCAGAGTGGTTCAGCTGCACCAGAACACCCCAGCCTTGTGGGAGCATCCTGGCTGTATCCAGAGCTCATCCCAGGTCTGTAGGGATGTGAGCAGCCCCAGGGCATGGGACTTGAGGACTGACCCCATGGTGAGAGCGGAGTGACCAGAGCAGGAGAGACCCCTGAGCCTCCATCCCTTGAGAGGCCCCAGAGAGTCCCCATGCCTCGTTCCAGTTTAATTCCCTACGGGAAGGAGCCTGCAGGGTGGTGACCGGTCCTGCCCTGTTGGCAGCATTGTCCTCATAGTGTGGAGCCACAGGACACCCCCCACCCTTTTATGTTGGAGAAGTTTGTCCTAACAAAGCTCAAGCCACGTTCAATCAGCCCAACAAATAACAACGGATGGCTGCAGCCTCCAGAGCAATTCCAGAGGGGCAATGTCCTGAGGCTGCTCCTCATCCCTGCCTACATCCAGGAGTGATCCATCCCCCACCTCCCATTTCCTGCAGCTCCAAGCCCACTCACAACCCCAGGTAACACCTCTCCTTGTGTTTTCCAGGTAAAAAGGCTGGTCCTCCAGGGCCCAATGGTCCCCAAGGGCCACCAGGGCCTCCAGGGCCACAGGGTCCCCCCGGCATTCCCGGCATCCCTGGAATTCCAGGCACAACTGTCATGGGACCACCCGGCCCCCCTGGCCCCCCAGGCCCTCAGGGACCACCTGGAGTGCAGGGCCCCTCAGGTAAGGATCCATCCCTGCCCTCTGCTCCGAGCTGGACAGGTGGGAACACCAGAGATGTCACCAGAGATGTCACCACAATGTTGGGATGTGATGGCTCCACAGCCTGGAGCAGGACTTGGGTGTCCTCAGGGCTTGGAGCAACCTATGGAAGTGTCCCTGTCCATGGCAGGGGTGGAACCTGATGGGCTTTAAGGTCCCTTCTGACCCAAACCATGCTGAATTTCTGGGATTCTGGGATTCCATGGCTCTGAGTGGGCAGGAGCAGCAGGAGCCCCTCAACTCTGTGCTGTGCTGCCAAAGGCTTCTTCTCTTTAATTAGGATTTGGCTCCCAGGGGAGGGAGATGCAATGAATGACCTGCAGAGGGAAACTTGGCATCTTGGCAGCCAAGAGGTTTTATTCTCACTGTGGATCAGGGAATGGCTTGTGCAATTTTTCCTTCTAGTGGAAACCTGTTGAATAACAAAATAATTGTGATGGTTGGATAGAAATGCCAGGAATAAACCAGAGAACGTTTTTCTTCCTTATATGTTTTTAAAATATTTTTTAATACTTCTGGTTTATCTATTTTAATATTACCTGCACCCCATATCCCTCCTCGTGTTAAAACAAAGGTTTAATGATTATCATGGAGTTAGAAAAGTGATTTATATGGGGCTTCAGGGTTATTTTGGGTTTAAAAAAATGGTTAAAAAAGTTCTTTATCAGGGGGTTTAGGGGTTATTTTGGAATAAAAAAAGTTTTATTTATGGAATTTTTCATTCAACCTTCCTCTTCATTGATGTGGAATTGCCTTTTGCAGGTGCCACAGACAAGGCCAGCTCCAGAGACATCCAGGTGAGTTGATCTTTCCATGGAAAAACCCAGCTTTGGAGGGGATTTTTGTGGACTGGCACGGTGCTTCCCATTAATCTTCAATCTCTGTGCTCTCCCTTGCAGCCAGCTGTGGTCCATCTCCAAGGCCAAGGCTCAGCAATCCAAGTGAAGAATGGTAAGGATCTCTTGATAATTGTGGGTACTGGGAAAATCCTCTCCTGCACCCACAGAGTTCTTGGATCCCATGACACAGCTCCCAGATTTTCCATGCATCCCTGGCCTCGTACCTGGATCCCATCCATCCCTTGACACAGCTCCAAGATCATCCCTGCCCATCCCTGCCCATCCCTGCCCATCCCTGCCCTCCAATACCCCTGCCCAGACCGCCCCAAGAAGAGTCTTGGGCAGAGTCTCCACCCCTGTTTCCCCTGAGCTCCTGTTTATCTCCCAAATTATCCCTGTTCTGTACATCCCAGGAATTCTGTCCCACTAAATGTCCCTTCTCCCTGACCTCCAGGTACATCTTTTGTCTCCCCAGCACCTCCATGACCAGGCCTTTTTTTCCCCCCATTCTATTTTAAGCCCTCAGTGGATCCTTGTCCTGTCTCTTCCCCATTTGCCCATTTTCCTCCAGTTTCCCAGGAATTTAAAGCAGGGAAGACCCAGTGGTGAGAGGATACAGAGGTGTCCAGCCACCAGCCCTTCCTGGGATCCCCTGAGCATCTCTGCCCCCACCAGCATCCTTTAATCCCAGATCCTGCTGAGCCACGTCCCATCCACAGGCAGCTCCTTTGGATGGGATTCCCACAATCCCCATCCAAATTCTCCTCAAGTTCCTGCTCTCCTTCCAACAGCTGGGGCTCATTCATCACCTCCTGCCTCCCTGCTCTGGCTGTGCTGGAGAGGAGCTGCCTTGTCCCCTCCCTGAGTCCCCACGTGCAGCTCCCCGGGGACCACATCCATCCATCCTTACCCCAATCCCAGACTGGCTCCCGAGGGTGGGGGCGGCAGGAAGGGGCTGCAGGATCCCTGTCCAGGAATTCCTGCCTCCCACGTGGGATGGGATGGGCTGGCCACTGCTTTTGTGGGAAGGCAGCTTTCCCTCTCAGCAGTGAGCAGTGGCAGCTGGAATTTCTCATGGATAGGGATTTGTGCTTGCAGCTCCCCAAAATTAAAAGGAAAGCGCCCGTTCCCAGGAACAACGTGAGGGAAGAGTTGCTGTTTGCTTACGTTCACAAAGCAATTATCCCTTCATTACTGGGAATGCTGAGGGTTTGCAGAGGGAACGCTGCTCTCTAAGAGCAGGAATGCCCTGTGAGTGTCCTTCCCTGCTGCTCGGGAACAATCCAGAGCTGGGAGCCAGGAATGCTGTCCAGCTGCCAGCCTGGCGAGCTCCAACTGGGAGCAGGGAGAGGAGAGGCAGATGGAGACTGGGAGGAAAAGAGTGGGATTTGATAAACTGAGGCACCTACAGAGATTGGCTCGGTTTGGGGCTCATAGCAAAGTCTGTTCCTAGGTTATCCCAGTAATCCCAGTGCCAAAGGAGTGGGTGGTGGATCCATAAATCCCTGACAGTGTGGAGGGACCCCAGTTAGGGGTTACTGTGTTGTGATATGATGCAATTTCCTACTTTGTTGTTATTCTGGCTCTTAAAAAGCTCAGGAGTTGTAAAGGCAAAGGTTTTGTTGAAATTATCCCAATTACAAAGTCAAGAATGGTGAAATCAAGGAACACTAGAATTAAAATCAATCGTGTGACCCAAAGCTGGCCTCCCTTTGCCTGGAGAAGAGAAAGCTCCAGGGAGCCCCTTCCACTGCCTAAAGGGAGTCCAAGAGAGCTGGAGAGGGATTTTGGACAAGGGCCTGGAGTGACAGGACAAGAAGGAATGGCTTTAAGCTGAAAGAGGATAGATTTAGATGGGAGAATGGGAAAAAATTCTTCCCTGTGAGAGTGGGGAGGCCCTGACACAGGGATGTGGCTTCCCCTGGATCTCTGGAAGTGTCCAAGGCCAGGTTGGACGGGACTTGGAGCAACCTGGGACGGGGGAAGGTGTCCCTGCCCATGGCAGGGGGTGGAACCCCCAAACCATTCCATGACGGACACAACAGGGAACAGGGATCAAACAAGCTCAGCTGCAGGGTCAGGAGGAGGCAGATCCGTGACCAGCCCTGGGATGAGCAGAGCACAGCAGGGTTTTGAGGCTGAGAACACAAGAGAGTTGGAGGCACAGGCAATCTCAGAGCTGGAGAGGAGTCCCTGCTCCCAGTCCCTAATCCTGGGATGCCCCCTGGGAATTCCCTGCTCTCTGTGTGACTTTGTTTGTGTTGCTCCTGCGCTTTTCCTCCTGACGGGTACTGAGTGACCGCCGTTTTCTCATACTGAGATCTTTCAGGTGGAGTCCTCAATGACTGGTCTCGCATCACTCTGAACCCCAAGGTGTTTAAGCTGCATGCCCGCAGTGGGGAGCTGGAGGTACTGGTGGACGGCACATACTTCATCTATAGTCAGGTAGAAGTGAGTACGGTCCTAGGCTAACTCCTCCTATTCTTGTGTTCCGGTGGAAGCCTTGCATGAACCACGAGAGGGCTCCAGACAACAACCAAAATGCCAACAGCTTGCGTGGAGTTGTAGCTGCTTCGGCTCAGGCTGGGTGTGGGGAGGAGTGTCACACCCCTGTCACCGCCAGGACGCCAGGGATTAGTCACTGAGAGCACAGCCCATACCCACCTATCCCAGGGTTATCCCTCCAGTTATCCCTGTGGTCATTCCCTGACCCTTCCAAACCTCCCTGCAGGCAGGAGGTTGAGCTCAGTGCTTTAAAAGACCCAAACACTGGTGATTTGTGGTTGTTTTGGAGCTGTGTCACTCTGCCAGCCCAGGTGGTTTGGTCACATTCCAGCCCAGGTCACTCTGTTTGCCTCCCCCTGCTCCCTGTAGCTCTGCCCCAGAACCAGCTCTGGGATGAAGCGAGCCACAGATGTCAGGTGCTCTTCTTCCATGGAGTTGGTGACACGTGTCCAGTTTGGATGGGGACAGAAAATATAACTCCACATGGGCCAAAGTGTAATTGTTTCCCAGGTTCTTGATGCTGATTGCTGGCCACAGTGTTGGGCCACTGAAGCCTCATCGCTTGTGGTCCATCAAGAAAAAAAAAAGAGGATTCAATATTCAGCTCCTGCCTCCAAAAGGGCTGGATTTCCTTTCTCAGGAAGAAGCAGCTCCTTGAGACTGACTTCCCCTTGGATAGGTCTTCCTCCTGCAGTTCTTGGGAACCAGGGTGTGGGAGAGGGTTAGGTGAGGACAAGTGGAGTCACAGGGCCTTGGAGTTCAGGGAGTTCAATCCGTAGAAACACTGTGAGGTGATTTCCTTCCAAGCTGTGGAGGTTGGGAGAGCCTTTTCCCTGTAGTAGCTCGTGCCTGTGCAAGCACCGAGTCCAGTTACCCAGGAGGCAGCTCCCAGTCCACCTTAGGGCAGTTCTGATGTCACCACTAAAGGAGGCTCCTGGCACCAGGAAGCAGGACTGGCCAGGTAAGTGCAAGAGGCCTTCAGTGGAATGTGTGTGTCTGTGTGTGGGATGAGAAGCTGTTGTAGCCCACAGGGGGTCCTGCATGGCTCTGTGCAGGTGTGTCACTTCCCTGGAATAAGCAGGATGGTAGCTCAGCCTTAGGCACGTGGATTTAGGGGTTTTTGCATGCTTGGGTCAGTCTGAAGCAGAATAAAGGGAGTTCCTGGTTGGTTTGGGGCTCTCACTGCCTCGCACAAGCCACCTGTGAGTGCAGGAGGGGCTGCACACACCCCCAGGACGCTGCATTTGCTCCCCACACCCCAACCCTTTCCCTGACACCTTTCTTCTCCCTGCTTCACACCAGGTCTACTACATCAACTTCACTGATTTCGCCAGCTACGAGGTGGTGGTGGACGAGAAGCCCTTTCTGCAATGCACTCGGAGCATCGAGACCGGCAAGACCAACTTCAACACGTGCTACACGGCCGGGGTGTGCCTGCTCAAGGCCAGGCAGAAGATTGCTGTGAAGATGGTCCACGCTGACATCTCCATCAACATGAGCAAGCACACGACTTTCTTTGGGGCCATCCGCCTGGGAGATGCACCCGCATCCTAGAGAGGAACTTGGCGTGGCCAAGGACACCCACGGAACTGCACAGTGCTGCTGTTCATAAAGCGTATCAGTATTTCAGGGGTTCTGTAATCCGGCCATAAAGGAAACTGATCCAGAGCTATTTATTCCTATATGTGAATGCAGGAAGCACAATTGTCCTCTGTGACTCGCGGGGAGACTCGGATCAAACCAAAAAAGCTGGTGGGGAGAGCGTTGTGAGGAGGAAAGGCTGTTGGGTGTGCCTTGTCTCAGTATTTCAAGTATTACTGCACTGATACTCTGCTCTGTGACCTTCACACGAGGCTTGCTGGGAGAGCTGGGGGCTCTGCTCGGATGTTGCACTGGCAAGAGCATCCCAGGCAGGAGCGGGAGGACACGGACTCCTGTCCCAAAATCCCAGCCAGGCTCCTGCTTGTGCACGCTATCGACAGCCAGGAGGGGGCTTCTGGCTCCCTGCCTTCCCAGGGGGAGCTGGAAGGGCTGGGGGGCGAGGGGAGGTGGGTGAGACAGGGTCAGTGGTGTTTACATTCATCCTCAGGAGGAGGAGGAAAAGTGCCTCGACCTAGAGCTTGGAAGCAAAAGCAGGAAGTGCGAGAGGAAGAGGAATAACTAGAGCAGGCTTAGCAGATAGGAAACTGCCTCCACATTCCAGAAACCACCAAATCCCAAAGAAAACGCCGATTCCCGGGTCCAGGCCTCTGCTCCTTTCAGCTCCTGCCCTTACCCCAGAGGTAACCTTGCCCCAGGGGGGGCTGCCTTCAAGTACTGCTGCTGTTACAGCAAATTGAGTTGGGTTAGGGGTATTTTGGTTTTGGTTTTTGTTTGGTTTTGTTTTTTGTTTTTTGGGGGGTTTTTTTTGGGGGGGGGAGGGGGTTGTTTTGTTCTTTTTAATTAATATTTTGCAAACCAGAACACATTTCTACAGGCTTCACCGAGCCACGTAGAGCAGCCACAAGTACTTGTGACAACACTCGGAGGAAGTTTGTTATGTTTAAGAATAAAATATTCAAACAGGAATTTTTTTTTTCTGTTTTAATAGCAACTGTCCTGCTTTTATATGTGGTTTTTAGCCTTCCTTCCCCCCACCCCTTTCCTTTTGGCATCCTCCTACCTAAAATAAGTGGTGATGGAGACTTTAGCAAAGGAAAAAAAATGGGATTTTAAAATCCGGTCCAGCATGAAGTCACCACTTTTTCTTTTCTCTGAGCCCTGCTGAGTCTAGTCATAACTCGATTTCTAGTGACTAATAGAGGAGCTGGGACACTATTGTTTCTTTTGGCTTCTTGAGCAACTCTGTCCCGTTACCTCCCCTCAGCTGGAGAGACCTAAAGCCATAAGATGCTCTGGAGCTGAGGCAGAGGCACAAATTGCTGTTGTCTCAGCCCTTGGCTCACACTTGCTCAGCTTGGTTGGGGTTTTGTTTCCCTGTGTTTCTTTCCAGAGCCTGTTTGTGCTTTCAAGAGGGGAGTGAAGTTGCAGCCTGTGTAGGAACAGGGCAAATCTCAAAGTGACATCTTCAACCTGGAGCAGGGAAGGTTTTTGGGACCTCAGGGCCTAAAGGGGCTGCAGGAGAGCTTGAGAGGGACTGGGGACAAGGGCTGGAGTGACAGGACAAGGGGAAATGGCTCCCCACTGCCAGAGGGCAGGGTGAGATGTGATATTGGGAAGGAATTCTTCCCTGTGAGGGTGGGGAGGTCCTGGAGAAGCCGTGGCTGCCCCTGGATCCCTGGAAATGTCCAAGGCTATGTTGGATGGGGCTTGGGCTAGTGGAAGGTGTCCCTGCCCATGGCAGGGGTGGAACTGTTTGATCCAAAGGATCCCTCCCAGCCCAGTCCTGTGATTCCATGATCTCGGTGCTGGCTCCACGCAGAGGTGGCTCATGGTCACCTGCAGGGTGTGGGAGGGGAGTGTCCCAGCTCTGTGCTGTGGCCACAGAGGGCCCTGCCCTGCCTGGAGCATTGCTGGCTCCATCCCTAGCGAGTGATGTCCCTTGCCAAGTGTTGCAGTTATTGGGAGACAAAAATTCCTCGGGGCAGCGGCGTTGGCCACGGCCTCGCTATTCACAGGAGCCGTGCACTTCGGGAAACAACTGCGTGACAAATGGGCTGCTCTGGCTTTTTAGTGGCTTCTCCTCCCTTCAGCCTCGACATGTGGGATGGGCAAGAGCCTTGGGGGCTCTTCACTGGGCTTTGTGGTTTTCTTTCCTTTCAAACGGATTAAGAGGGACATGTTCCTGTGACAAGAATGAAGCGGGACAACTGTACACAGCGAGAACATGAAGCAAATCGTTAACAGGATTGCTTTAGAACAGGCCTGAGCAGCAAGGCTGGGGGCAGCCATAAATAACAGGGGGTTGGGATGGAGTTTGCATTCCTTGTACCCCGCTGGCAGGATCTGGGATGTGCTCCATGAATGTGGGCAGGGGGAGGCAGAGGGAGAATCCCTTTGCTCTGTTTAAAGCTGGGGTGTTGCTGTCCCCTCTGGTATTGGAGGAGAGCAGGAGAGAGCAATTCCTGCATGGAAGTTCTTTCTGGTGCGTGCTTGGGATGCAGGAGGAGGGCAGGAGGGAGCAATTCCTTCATGGAATGTGTGAGCAGGCTTTTTCTGGTGCTCACACTAACCAAAGTGTGTGTTGGAGACGTGGAATTGGAGCTGGCTGCAGGTGGCCGTGGCAGATAGAGCTTTTTCCTGCTCCCAATGGGATGTCCCAGCCCAGCCACACCAGCAGCTCCCGTGGAAGGTCCGAATGGCCACAGCAGTGTTGGCTTTGCAAGGGGACAGCTCCATCCTTCCGGGGTGGGAGGGACACTGTCCCCTCGTTGGGATCAGAGCTGCTCGAGAGTCACCTTCCCAATGCCCTGGGAATGCATGGAAGGAAGGGCAGATCCCATGGATTTGGATAACCAGGTGTCCTTCTGCTCCCAAACACCCCGGCTGGAACCCATCACCCACAGCACAGATGTGACCTGGGCAGGTGATTCTGTCCCAGCTTCCTCCATACCTCAGTCCTGCTGCTCCTTCCTCACATCCTTTGGAGACTTCTCCCACAAAAACCTCGTGGGGAACAGGGAGTCACTCCCTGGAGCCAGCATGGAGGGCAGGGAGAAGCACAGGAGAGCTGGTTTCAGAGCAGATCCCTCCCTGTTCAGAGTGTGGTTCACTCTGCCTTCATCACGATCCAAGAAAAGTCTCTCGGTGTTTGCCGGGTCTGATCCACACCCGCTGCTCCCACAAAGGGAATTCACAGCCTTGGGATGCAAATGCCCAGGGATTCTCTGCAGAAGTCCCTGATCCAAATCAGGGACTTTTCAGCTGCTGACAGGGGCTGTGTCACCGTGCAGACCCATGGCCAGCAGTTGGGGTGCAGGGGGACAGGCTGGGCTTCCCCGGGCGTGGCAGGGCTGGACGGGCTGGTTCCGCTTTTGGGAGGGCTATGGGGTCATCCAGAGGTCGGTGTTTCTCTGGCAGGAGCTCACATCTGCACAGATGTGCTGTGTGCTCACAGCTGCCTCCAGCCCCACATCAGCCCAAAACGCTGTCCCTGGCCTGTCACCGCTGTTCTGCCTGTTCTGCATGCTGGGGACACTCAAGGCTGAGTCACATCCTGAGGTGACAAAGTGTCCCCCACCATGCCAGCCATCAGAGGGTGAGGGGTTACTCAGATGTGTTACTGTATGTGTGTATATATATATATATATATATATATATATATAAATAATCTATATTTATTTATTTGTGTATTTTATGTCTATATATTATTTTTTTCCTGCCAGGATTAGAGCATGATCTCCGTAGCTGAAACTTCACATCCTTGGACAACCCCTCAGCAGCCTGAGTTGCTCACATGGAATTGGCCACACTAAGCCAAAAAAACCCCAAATTGTGCGTTTTGGAGAGTGCCCCGTGAAGCATGAGGGGCTTGTCCCCAAGGAGTGTGTCAGCACTAGGCGGCACAAGGACACGGAGATGCCACCACACAAAAAAAGTCCCTGTGGGTGGGACACAGTTCCGGGTGCACAGATCCCACCTGCAGCTGCCGCAGGGACAGTTCCCTTCTGGTTCCTGCCTGAGCGAAGAGGTGACCCGGCAGCCCAGGTGGGGACGTGGGGTGTGACAGCGAGGAGCCCGGCGCCTGCACGCCGCAAGGGGAGGGAGAGGAGGAGGAGGAGGAAGAGGAGGAGGGGGATTCCAGCTCTGCACATCCCCCTGGGAAGGTGCGGTGAGCCCTGGAAGCTATTGTTTTCCGATGGCTGTGCTGGGATGGAGAGGGAATGTCGCTGCCTGGGTGTGACAGTCAGGTGATGCCACAGCCAGGAGCTGTCCCAGGCTGCAGAGCCCTCGCCGGCTGTCCCTGGTGCCCCGGGAGCTGGCACATCCTGTCCCTGGCACAAGGAAACTCCCACAAACCCTCTCAGCTTTCCTACGTGCCACCTCTGCCTCCTGGCATTTGATGTCACAGCGGGTCCAGCCGGTCACCTGAGCTCCCTCCTCCCCATCCTGCCGTTTCTCTTTCCCTTCCCTGTGGCTTTGTGCCGTTTTTCCCCCTCTGCGAGCTGATGTCTTTCTTTTCCCACTTCCGTAGCTACGAACACCCACATGCCTTATCTCCTTCCCCCATCCCATCCTGAAGCCTATTTATACAGAGCCTGGCTCCTGCCCAGCCTGCCAGCGACGCCGCAGGAGCGGGACGGGGCTGGCAGCGCCCGCAGCCCAACATGCTCTGGGCTGCTCGGGGATGTTTCCTGCTCTGGCTGCTCCCGTCCATCCTCAGAGCCCGGGCTAGCCCGGAGACGAGGCCCAGCTCCCCTCTGTGCCAGCAGGTAAGGCTGTTTTCCAAGGAGCACCTGGGCTGGGATGGCTCCAGCAGCGTGGCTGGGGCTGCCAGCATCCCTCTGGATCTCCTCCCTATGGCTCTCACCTCCCTCCAGCCTCCATCTCTTTAACTTTCCCAGCCTTTCCTCTGTTTCCCTGTCTTGGAGCTGGTCTCCTGTGAGGTGGCATCTAGCTGCTCCCACGTCCCTGCCATGCCTGAGGTACTCAGAGGATGGAGTCCAGGGATTCCAATGAGGCAGTTGGGAACCTAGATGGGGTAATAGCAGGTTTCTGTCTCCCCAGAAAGAAATCAGTTGCTCCCCATCCAGGTTCCCAGCTCCAGAGGAAACTGGAGCGAAAGGTGGAGCCTACACAGTGCCCTTCCTCTGCCTAAACAGGGATGCTCTGGACCAGCTGGGCTTGGAAGGGGGAGCAGTGCTCATTCCCACTCCTCATGCCCATCTTGGACAGCAGCTGGCTTGCCTGGAGCTGCGGTTTGTAGCCCCCCTCATTCACACCTCTCCTGTCTCTCCACAGAGCCCCACGAAGGTGTCCTGCAAAGGAGTTGGCCTGCGGAAATTTCCCAAGGAGCTTGGCCAAGGAATTAAGTACCTTGAACTCTCCAACAACTTCATCCAAAACCTGTCAGGCAGCAACATGCCAGGATTTGGGCAGCTGGAGTACCTGGATGTGTGCTTCAACCAGCTGGAAGCCGTGTCAGCCACCGCCCTGGCTCAGCTGCCTCGGCTGCGCTCGCTCCTCCTGGCATCCAACCACCTGGACCGGAATTACTTGGCTAACGGGGAAGCTTTCCATCTGCTCAGGAATATAGAGGTCCTGGACCTGTCAGTGAATAACCTGGAGAGCCACATGGCCAGCTGGTACATCAGCAGCCTCACCAGCCTGAGGGTGCTGGATCTCTCTGGGAACACGATGACCAAGCTGCTGGCAGGGACCTTCCAGAACTCGCCGCGCCTGCGCCAGCTCGACCTCAGCAACAACTACATCATGGAGATCCAGGAGGGAGCTTTTGAGCCTCTGGAAGAGCTGGAGGTGCTGAACTTGGCTTTGAATTCCCTCCACTGTATCTCTGGCTTCAGCCTCACGCAGCTGCGAGTTCTAAACCTCAGCTACAACGCCCTGGAGCTCTTCTCCTCCGACGAGGGAGCGGAGCCCTACCTGCTCCGAGTGCTCGACTTGAGCCATAACAGACTCCTCTCTTTTCCAGAGCTCCCCAGAGCCCATGATCTCACACACTTAAACCTCTCCAATAACCTCATTTCTTCCCTGCTCCCAGGCTCACCCCATCCCAGGGAGTTTGTCCTGCTTTACAAGGAGATGCAGAGGTTCAACAGGACCGTGCGTTCCGTGGCCGCTCTGACACGCGTGGCTGACCTGGATCTCAGCAATAACCGCCTGGAGCTGTTCCCATTTTCCTTCTTCCACAGCCTGGGCTCCCTGCACAGGCTCAGCCTGGCAAGGAACTGTCTCCAGGAGGTGGCCAGGGAGTCTGTCTCCAATGGCACAGAGCTGTCCGTGCGCTCGCTGGACCTCCACAGCAACGCCCTCCGTGTGCTGCCACGCTGGTTCCTCGATTCCCTGCCTCACCTGGAATCCATGGATTTGGGCTCCAACAGCCTGCAGCCTTGTGAGGGCCAGGAGAGTTACCAGGGAGAGGATTTGAGAAGGGATTCTGGAAACACCTGCACCACCTTCTACAACGTGCCTCGCTTGAAGCACCTGAGCCTGTCCAAGAACGGCATCTCCAGGCTGCAGCCCCACGCCTTCAACCGGACCCCCCTGCTCTCCCTGGACCTGTCGGGGAACAGGGACTTGTCCATGGCCACGGGAGCACTGGGGGGATTGGAGCTGTCCCTGCAGGAGCTCTCTCTGAGGGACAACCAGATGGACGAGGGCCAGGCAGCGCTGCCCTGCCTGGTCACGCTCCGAGTGCTGGACCTGTCGGGCAACCACCTGAGCCTGCTGCCCACGGGGCTTTCCTGCTCCCCGCTGGAGAGCCTGGACATTCGGAATAACAGCCTGCAGAGCCTGGGAGCAGCCAGGAGCTGGTCCCACAGCCTGAGGGCTGTGTCTGTGGCTGGGAATCCCTGGAGCTGCTGCTCTCTGGGCTGGCTGGACACGCTGCGTGCGGCCGGCGTGGCCGTGCCCGACCTGCGCCAAGCCCGCTGTGTTTTCCAGGAGCACGGCCGGAATATCTCAGCCATGATCAGCGGCACTCCCGGCTGGATCTGTCCCCAGCCCGAGGGCACTGCCTCCCTGGCTGTGCTGGTGGCCCTGATTAGTCTTTCCCTCCTCTGTGCCTCGGCTTTCTGCCTCCTGAGGAAAGGGCAGAAAGCTCCGGGATGTGAGGGACTCGGGAACAACAGAGTGGGAATCTCGCAGCTCCATCCCAAAGGAGAGAGGCCAGCCGAGGAGAGGCCACCTGACAGCATCACCAAAGTGTAGCCCAGACCTGCGGCCATCGGTCAGAACTCTAATAATTATTATTAATAATATTAATATTAATAATATTATTGTGGTTTACATCTCACTGGTACCTGCGTGATTTGTGAACCCAGTGACAGGAGCGTGGTGGGTGCTGGGCTCTGAGCCACCCTCCCATCCCCCCTGATCTCTGCCAGAAATTGCACATGGAATTTGGGGTGCCATGACACATTCCCATCACTCGGCACAGGGAACCAAGCCCTGGGGCTGGCTGCACTGAGCACCCCTTTCCTCCACATCACACTCAGCTGGATGGGAATTGTCTCCATTTGGGCCACCTGGGTGTTTTCCAGCTTGCCCAGCAGCCCCTTTAAGAAGGTTTAATAGCTCTGTTAAGGCCCTGCTGCTGCTCCTGAAGCGTTCCCTAATCCAGGAAGAAGCAGGAGGGAATAGGAATGATGTTTGTGGTGTGGCTCACAGTGCTGGGGTGAGGAGGGGGTTTCTGTGAGACCCTGCCCACCCCTCTGCTGCCTTCCCTTGCTGCGGATGCTGGGAGGAATTCTGCCCTGTCCTCCCCCACTGGGATAGTGGGAATGGGAGGAGTGCAGGTCTGTGCTGTCCCTGGCTAGTACAAGATGTCCCATCAGTGCCAAGACCCTCAAGGTGATGGTGGCTGGTGCCAGCAAGAGGTAAGTGCTGCCCAGGTCATGGTCCTGATGGATTTGGCACCCTCTGAGCACTCCCCAAAGCCAGGGATGATCCAGGGGCTCAGACTCCAGCTCGAGAAGGCAGCTGGAGGAGGTGTTGAGTGGGATTGTAACTGTGTGGTGATGTCCATCTCTCCCTTGAGTGACTTGTCCCGCTTCCCAGGGCAGAGTGGGAGCACCTGAAGGGCTGGACCAGCTCCAGGAAGTACAAAATTGAAGTTGCAGTGAAACCTTTAATGTTTCACATTCATGTGGTTCCACCTGGGAAGTCCCCAGCTGGGCCCAGTCACCTTCACACACCTGGTGGATTGGAGCTATGGGAACATAAGGGCTTGGAAGTTACTTAAAACCCCAATTGCTTCATTTTCTTCCCTTTTTTATTTCTTTCAAGCTTATGGTTTTACTGGGAAGCAAAAAGGACGTTTTTGGTGTAAAATATGTCAGGGTTTCAACTTCCTGTCCTTTGCTGGGCACACAGCTCCAGAACCCTCAGTGACTTTGGTGGCCCCCACATTTCCACCCCTGCCTCAGTTTCCTTCTGATGCAGAGCTCTGTGCCCTGTCATAGCGAGTGGGAGCCTGTCATTGTGTGTCACCACCCTGCAGGACCTTGGGGACAGGAAGATACCCAGCCTCCCATGCTGGATCTCCTGCTTCCACACCCCCCCTTCCCCCTGGACCTCCTGTTCCCATGTCCCTCTTGGGTTACAAAAATCCCCATGCCACAGCCACCACTGCTTTGTCCTCTCCCATCCCAGTGTTTCCCAGCTCCATCCCCAGTGCTGTCCCCAGCTGATGTCCCTGGGGAGCCATGGAGTGTCCCAGGAGCTGCTGTGTCCACCTGGGGCTTTTCCCCAGCACTGTCCCCTGTCCTCGGGTGACACCTGAGCTCTCTGGGGCAGGGATCTGCTTTCCCAGTGTCCACAGGTGAGTTCAGACTGTCCCTGGGGCAGGGATTTGCTTTTCCAGTGCCCACCAAGTGCTGGGACAGGTGGGTGACCTCAGCACCTCCCCAATGCTGTGCCACCCTTCTGCCCCAGCGCTCGGTGACACTGCAGGGACACCTCAGGGCCCAAAGTGCCTTCACTGAGTGTCTCTGGTGCATTTTTGTGCCCTCTGCTCCTCGTTTAACCCCTTCCCACTGGTGTCACCGGGAGATGTCCTGGCTTTGTGCTGCCGTTCCCACCAGCATCTTCCTCACGATGAGCTCGGAGCTGGGGACGGGCGGGGACACTGGGGACGGGCGGGGACACCACGTACCACCGGCTGCTCAGGGACACCATGTGCTGCCGGCACTCGGTGCCAGGCGCTGCCTCGGGCATCCTGAGTGTCCCCAGCCGTGTTTATCCAGTGTCGTGTCCCCGCCGAGCAGCAGCTGGCAGGGGTTGACCCCTTCAGGGCAGTGACACTTGGGGACAGCGGCTGCTGATCCTGAAGTTTCTCTGGGGATTGAAGCATCTGCTGGAAAACGCACTAAAAATAGAGGGGGGGAGAATCTTGAGGCAGAAAAACTCCCAAATAACTGGACTTGATCTCAGAGGATTTTTCCAACCCCAAGGATTCTGTAAAGCCCAGGGTAAGGGGGAAGAGGGAGAACTTCCCAGGCTGAGGAGGGGCTGTGAAGGTGTGGAAAATGAGCCAGGGCAGTGGTGTTGGGTTATCACCATTACTGATGTCCTTGTGCTTTCCTGACTCAAAGAAAAACGGAATTCCAGGTTATGGTCTCATGGATTTGCCAAGATTGAATCCGAGGGCAATATCCCCTTCTCCCAGCCCCAGGAACAGCTTGGCCAGGAGCAGGACATGGGGTGAGCCTGTGCTGGCCCAGGGGACAGTGAGGTGGCACCAAACCACGTTTGTGTCCCCAGAACCAGCATGAGGCCAAGAGAAACCCCGGGTCTGTCCTGAGTTCTGCAATGCCCCTCATCCGGAGCTTCCCGTGCTTTAGGGGAAATGGTTTCCCTATCCCAGGCGTGTCTTGGCATCTCCAGTGTTTTCTTGATCCAAAAGGAGGGCAAAAGATCTGTTGAATATTACATTTTGAACAAATAAAGTGGTGATGCCAAAAATGTTGCATTTTCGTGTCAGGCTGGAAGGCGGCAGGAGTGTAAATTTTGGTCTGACAAAAAAAGCAGCAGTGATTAAAATGTTGTGACCATTGACAAATTTTCTAGAGAAGTGGTTGAGAAATCCAGCAAAACTCATTCTTTCCAGTGGAAAGCCTTCACATTTCCCTGGACCTGCATTTTCAAAGAATAATAGATTTTTATCAAAAATTTCCACCGAGCTGTTTCACTAACCCAGGCGGAAATTACCTTCAGCTCACTTCAGTTACAGCAGTTTTTCTTTTCCTTTTTTTCTTCTTTTTTTTCCTTTTCCCTCTTTATTTTTTCTTTATTTTTTCTTTATTTTTTCTTTATTTTTTCTTTTTTTTTTTCTTTCTTTCTTTTTTTTTTTAATGATCCAGAGCTTTATCTGCTGCAGGAGCTGAAGGATATCCTGGCAGATCTCTCTCCTCAGGCCACCCCAGCTGGGCAGAGGAGGAGAGGAGAGCATTTCTCCTTCTCTGTGTTCAGACAGAGCCTAAATTAACCTAAATCTCCCCAGTCCTGATAAGATAAGGAAGATAAGAGTCCTTTCACCCAGCTGAAGGTAAATCCCCTTCCAGAGGGCTGCTGGAGGTACCATTTTTTATTTTCCCTGATATTGCAGCACCCATTCCTGAGTCCTTTTGATCTCATCGAGGCCCATCCACGCCGTGTTCTGGCTGCCTGGGATGTGTTCCTGCTGAATGTGGCACTTTCTCTGTGGCTTTGGGATGGCACAAGAGGCTGGTGGCACCTCCAGGACACCGCCCTGTGTCCCTCCCATCCGTAGGGCTGCTTCCCATTATCCCTCCGTGCCACAGGGACTCCGTGACTGGCACAGCTCCCCTGGCAGCTCTTCCCAGCCCGGGGGGGAGGCCGGGCGTGTCATTCATGACACTTTTCCTCCTCTCCAGGGGCTCTGGCTGGGCTGGGACCTCCATCCCGAGGTGTGGCAGATGTGGAGCGTGCCCCCCCGGTCCCTTCTGCCTTGCAGAGCCCTGTGCTGGCTCTGCAGCATCACCAGATGCTGCCACATGTTCTGCAGCTGGACCGCCCCTCCCAGCTGTGCCTGGGCTGCCCGCAGGGGACACTGCTGTGGGCACAGCAGCTCTGTCACAGGGAAGTGTCACCCCGTGTTGTACCCTCACAGCAGATGCAGATCTGCTGTCCCTGCTCCCTGATTCGGGACGCTGTGGGGACAGGTGGCTCGGCAGGATCAGGTCCCTGCCCACCCCCAGCCTGTTCTCGGTGCCTGTCCTGTGCTCTCTGGAAAGGTTTCCTTGAAGGAAAGCTGAGCTCCATGGCAGGAAGGGCTCCTGCCACCCAGAGTGACCATCCCACTGTCCCCAGCCTCTAGGGATGCTCCCAGTGCCCACCTGTGGGACACATATTAAGAAAGTAAAAAAATTACAGCCTGAAAAATATTCCAGGCTGGAGCTTCTCAGCTCTGTTCCCAGCAGATAAGCTGGCCTAGCTCAAGGCTAGGGAGAATTTCTCTCAGGGTGATAATTTGGTCAAAATAAAAAGGAATTAATAACAAGAGAGAACACCTGTTGTGGTACCTGACCAGGCCCTGGCAATGGGGTAAGCTCTCTGAACCAATCACCTTTTCTCTACTCTTGGAATTGCGAGTCATGCTATAAAACCAAGTATGTTTCTGAATAAACTTGTCTCTTTCTTCCTCTCATGAAAGACGACCATGTAGCTGTGCATCTTATTTCTGCCTCACTTAAAGGGTTAAAACCCCTTTCCACGGCTACACCCACGGGCAGCAGGAATCTCATCCCCAGCCCCTGGGCTGAGGCAGGACCCGGGATGTCAGTGCCACATGACCGTGTGCCACCACCCCCTGCGTCACTGTCACCGCACTGGCACAGCCTCCACGCCGAGGGATGTGGCTGCTCGCGGGGTCGGTCGGTAGGTGAGGGTGGGGTGGGGAGCCGAGGTCACCGGGGCCAGAGGGGACAGTTTGATGGCAGGGGAATCCCTGGAACTGCCACTGGGAGGTGGGACAGCGCACGGGGACACCGTGTGCTCACACGGGTCACAAACCATTCGCAGCTGTTTGCTTTGGCTCCTGAGTCCCAGGAGTGAGGGACACCAACCTTTGCCCCTCCAGGACAACTCTTTGCTGTTCCTCCACTAAAGCCTCATCCCAGGAGCTCTGCCCCAGCACCAGCTCTGCCCCTTTAGCCCCTCCTGGAGCTGTCCCCTCTTGTGTCCCCAGGCAGGGGGGGGGACACCTTTCCCAATGTTCTCGCAGCTCCTTTGGTCTCCCTCCTGCCAGTGAAGCCCCAGCTGGGGAAGGGAAGCCTCTCCTGGACTGGGAATCCCCTCCTGCCTCCCTCCTTCCCACAGAGCCAGCCCAGCTTGGAAGGGGAAGGAAGGGGTATTTTTAGCACTCACCCTCCGGTTGTTCCAAGGATTGAGCTAAAAAGAGGAATTGACGTTCAAAGGAGGGGTGGCTTTGCTTTAAAAGGAAGGGTTTGTGCTTTTCCTACTACTCAGTCATTGCAAAACTTTCCTGTGAAGAGGGATTGGTAAAAATACCTCGGGTGGGAGGTGGCAGCCTGTGACATCGGTGCACAGTTCCCTGTGCTGGCACTGATTCCATTGCCCAGTCCCCAAAGGAAGGGATGGGGTGGGACTAAGCCCCCCTGTCCTGGTGCTGATCCCAACTCCCATCACCTGTGAAGGGAATTCCCTCCTGCCAGCCCATCCTGGAGTGGTTCCTCTCTGCATTCCGGCTCTCCAGCAGCTTTTCCTGATCATTCTCACAGCTTTGGAACCCCTGGGAACTCAGGTGCCAGCTGCCATCCAACCCCAGTGTTGTCCTGGCAACCCCCTGGAGATCGTCCAGGTCCCAAAACAAGACACCATCGACACCTTGAGGAGGAGTTCAGCTGAAAGCCACAAGGGACAGAATCCAAAACACTGGGTTTGGTGTTTAGGGAATATAGACTTGGCTTATCCCTGTGTTCCTTTTCTCTCTGGCCTTTAACCAATCCCCTTGTAACTGTTTGGGATTTGGGAGTGACCTGAGACCCTTCCTCAAGGGCCATTGCTCCAGCACAATGAGCCGTGGCATTTGCATCCCAAGGGAATTTTTTGGGAAGGACAATGACTCAAGCCCTGTGTCCTGGTTTTAGTGATCCCAAGTCAAAGGAAGGTCACAAGGGGACAATAATCAACCATCAAGGCATGTCCTGTCAAGGTGAGAGGTCACAAGGGGGATGACAAGCAGTCCCCAATTTGGTTCTGTCAAGGAAAAGCACCTTCCAGAAAGAGGGGAAGTAGCACAGCCAAGGAGAAAGTGAAAGCCTAAAAAGTCAATTTTAACCTGTGACCCTTTTCAAAACCTGGGGTCAGCTAGGCTTCTGTCAAATGTCACCTCCCACTGTGGGAAAATCCCGGCCTACCTGGTTCCTCACGGGCTCCAAGCAGCACTTTTGGTTTTGTGCTTGTAGGAGGGAGAGATTCCCGAGAAATGCACCTTGTGACAAGCATGTGCCAGCCCTGGTGCCCTGCCGTGGCATCTTGGGCAGCCCCTGCTGGCACTTCAGGGCTGCTGCCTGTGCCAGCTCAGGGATGTGCACTCCGGATCAAGGAAACTGTGCTTTTTCAAGCTTTTTGTAAAGAAAATTTTAAAAAATAGGATTTATGAGCATGTGCTGACCCTAAAGGTGGGTGCAAACAGGGGGGTCGGGCTGTGCTCCCAGGAGACAAGGGACAGGAGGACACAGCCTCCAGCTGTGCCAGGGGAGGTTTAGTTGGATATTAGGGAAAATTTCTCATGGAAAGGGCCGCCCAGGGCAGTGGTAGAATCACACCCCTGCAGTGATTTAAAATCCACATAGATGTGGCACTTTGGGGACATGGTCAGTGGTGGCCTTGGGAAACATCCTGCAGCGGCTCATCCCTCAACCCCCTCCCAGGTGCTGCTTGGGGACGGTCACTGCTAATGACAGCTGGACCTCCCTCCAGCCCCTCCTTGTCCCTAACCCTGTGAATGGCACCGAAACCGCCTTTGTTCCCCTCCCCGGGGGGCAGGATCCGCCACCACCGATGCTATAAAGGGGTAGTGGGGCCGAGCGTCCCCAGCCCTGTTCCCTGTCCCTGTCCCAGCCTCAATCCTTGTCCCAGCCCCACCCCAGCTCTCAGACCCTGTACCTGCCCCATCCCAGTTCCCAGTCCTTGTCCCAGCCCCATCCTTGCTCCCAATCCCTTGTCCGAGCCCCATCCCTGCTCCCAATCCCTGTCCCAGCCCCATCCCTGCTCCCAATCCCTTGTCCCAACGCCATCCCAGTCCCCAGTCCCTGTCCCATCCCCGTCCCAGCCCCATTCTCGGCCATGGGCCGCCCCGCCGCCGCTGCCACGGCGCTGCTGTGCCAGCTGAGCCTCTCGGCAGCCATCCAGTGGCTGTGAGTAAGGATCTCTCCTTCCAGAGCCCCTCTTGGCGGTCCCTCTGGGCTCTGTGGTCCCCCCAATGACCCCCACCTCTCCCCACAGCGGGCTGGCTGGCAGCGGGGTGGCGTGGAACGAGAGCCAGCACTGCCGGCTGCTGGTACCCGAGCAGCTGCAGCTGTGCCGCCGACATCTGGAGATGATGCCCAGCATCGTCCGGGCCGCCCGCCGGACGCAGGAGCTGTGCCAGCAGAGCTTTGCAGACATGAGGTGGAACTGCTCCTCCATCCAGAGTGCCCCCAGCTTCGGCCCCGAGCTGCTCACAGGTAAGGGATGCTCCTCCCGCCGAGTCGCAGCTCCCGCTCTGCCCCCAGGAGCATCCCGGGCTGGCAGCGCCTTCCAGGCTCGCTTCTGCCTTGGATTAAAGATCCTGCCTTTACGTGGTGTTAATTCTGTGTAAGTTCCGTCTGGGGGAGGTGACAGACTGTAACTTCCATTTCAAATAGTTGCCAGAGGCTCCCAAAAAAAGCGGGGGAAGAGGTGGGGATACAGGCTGGATACGGGCACAGGTTAAAACACAAAAATTGAGAGGCCTTGAGTTTATCCCGCTGCGAGACGAAATAAAGAAACTCCTTGCACTGTGAGAGGAGAGTCTGGCCGGGCAGGGAGAAAGGAAATATCCCTGTTTTCTCCGCAGGAACACGGGAAGCCGCCTTCGTGCACGCCCTGGCAGCGGCGGCCGTGGCTCAGGGCATCGCCCGCTCCTGCGCCTCCGGAGAGATCCCGCTGTGCTCCTGCGGCCCCGGCCCCTCCGAGCCCCCCGCTCCCGGCTCCCGCTGGGGCGGCTGCGGGGACAACCTGAGCCACGGCCTCCAGCTCGGAGCCGCCTTCACCGACGGCTCGGCCAGAGCCGGCCCCGGGGGCACGCCCGGGCTCAGGGCTGTGAACCGGCACAACGGAGCCGTGGGACGGGCGGTGGGTGCGGGACCCCCGGGATCTGCGGCTTGGGATGGGGGATATGGAGCTCAGCAGGGATGCCGCGGTCTGGGATGGGGTGTGTGAGCCCCCCCAGGACTGCCCAGGGGTGGCACAGTGGGTGTGAGCCCTCTGGGATAGATGGAGTCCAGCGCCCCTCGCAGCAGGGGAAGAGGTCCCTAATTTAAGGCAGCAGATGCCAGTCAGGTTTTTGGGAAGTCCTGAACATCAAGAGGCAACAAAATAGTTTAAAAGTATGTTAGGAGACACCCCCACACGCACACTGCTGCCCACCCCCAGACGTCCCATACCCTTTCCTCAACCAGCACATCTGACACTTCACACCAGCATTCCCAGTTATCTGATATTTCACACCAGTGCTTCTTCCATCCTTCTCACTGGAAACAGAGCTTGTCCTGCCCCGCTCCAGCTGGGCTCCCCAGCCCATCCTATCTTAATGCTTCCATCCACTCCTGTTCCTCAGATGAGGCTTGGGAAGCCTCCAGCCCCACTGCCAGCTCTTCTGGGAAGTTCCCCAAGGATCAGGTTCTTATCAGAAGGGATTGAAGCAGGGCTGAGTTCCTGATGGCCCCATTATATTCAGCTCTGAGGTCTTTCATCCCTTGAAACTTCCCATGGGTGCCCTTGGGAGTCAGTCCCTGGGGTGGTACCAGGAGAGAGCAAACTCAACTCTTTGTTTTCCTGTGCTCTGCAGGTGCTCAGTGACTCCCTGGATACCAGGTGTAAATGCCACGGAGTTTCAGGCTCCTGCTCAGTGAAGACCTGCTGGAAAGGGCTGCCAGACCTGGGTGAAATTGCCTCTGATCTCAAATCCAGGTATCTGGCAGCCCTCAAGGTGACCCATCGGCTCGTGGGACCCAGGAAGCAGCTGATCCCCAAGGAAGGGGATGCCAGGCCAGTGGCAGAGATGGATCTGGTTTATCTCATTAACTCTCCTGACTACTGCAGCCCAAATCCCCAGCTGGGTTCTCTGGGGACACAGGACAGGTAGGAAGAGCTCAGCCTCTGATTCCAGGAGTGCCTGTACTGCTGCGTTTGAATATCCTGGGAAGCTGATGTGGATGGGCTGGGCTGAGCTTGCAGCAGATCCCTGAATCCCCGAATCCCTGTCCTCTGAGACCCCACCTGCACTGCTGCATCCAGGTCTGGGGTCCTCAACACAAGACAGGCATAGACTTCTTCAACAAGTCCCTGTCTGGCCATGGAGATGCTCCAAGGGCTGGAGCCAGGCTGAGAGAGCTGTGGGTGCTCACCTGCAGAAGAGGAGGCTCCAGGGAAACCTCAGAACCCCTTCCAGGGCCTAAAGGGGATCCAGGAGAGCTGGAGAGGGACTGGGGGCAAGGGATGGAGGGACAGGACAAGGGGGAATGGCTTCCCACTGACAGGGTTAGATGGAATATTGGGAAGGAATTGGGTTGGGAAGCCCTGGCACAGGGTGCCCAGAGAAGCTGTGGCTGCCCCTGGAAGTGTCCAGGACCAAGTTGGACAGGGCTTGGAGCGACCTGGGCTAGTGGAAGTTGTCCCTGCCCACAGGAAGTGGCACAGGATGATCTTTAAGATCCTTTCCAACCATTCCATGATTCCCTGATCCTGCTGCCTCCTGCTCTGAGCACACCAACTCTGGGAGATTCCAGGGCCTGGGAGGGCAGGTCCCCAGCTCCACATCTCTCCACAGGCCGTGCAACAGGAGCTCCGTGGGCAGTGGCAGCTGTGACCTGCTGTGCTGTGGCCGTGGCTACAACACCTACACGGAGGAGGTGCAGGAGCGCTGCCACTGCCGGTACCGCTGGTGCTGCTCCGTGGTGTGCAGGCGCTGCCGGCGCAGCCTGGAGAGACACGTCTGCAAATAAGGAGGACAACCCGCCCTGGCACCCACCAGGACACCAGGAGGCCATCCCAAGGGATGCCCCCAGCAAGGAGAAGGCTTGGTATCTCATGGGAAACCTCAGACTGAGAGATTTTGGGAAGTCTTCAATCCCTTCCAACTCAGACCTCAGGGCAGGACAAAGAGCTGCCCTCCTGCAGCTGCTCAGTGGCCACCCCTTTGTCTCCAAGCCATTGATCATTCCACAGGCACCTTTCTCCAGGGGGAATGGGGACCCTGGGCTGCCATTGTCCCTTTGCAGGAGGGTTCTGACAGCAGCCTGAAAGCCAGGAGTGATGGATGGAAGGGGGTAGAGTTATCCACTGGGAGAAGGCTGCAGGGATGGAACGCTGCTGCTTCGGGTGAGGGGGTCATGGGCAGCTGCTTTGGGAACAGGATTGTGCTGTGGGCTCATCCAGGATGCTCCTCCTCAGGTGAAAACTCTGCTCCAGGGCCCTTGGCAGCATCCCAGTGGAGACCATTTGCATGGGGATGGTGCTGCTGTCATTGATGGCAGAGACACCAGGGACAGGACAGGTCCTGGGGGCTACCAAAACTGGGCAGCCTGGCAAACCCACCCCTGACTGTGTGTTAACAACCCAGCCATGGCATCACTGTAGCTTCTGTCCCCATGTTGGAGGTGGGAGCCCACTCAATATGTGAAATTCTCATGGCTTGTCCTTCCTGCCCCTCCTTCTGGCCCACTGAGGTCTACAGCCCATTCCTTCCACCCTTCAGGACCAGGTGTGTTGGGATTCTGGCCTGGAGAGGGGACACAACTCCAAGGCCTTGGGGAAGCAAGAAATAACCTTGTGTTTCTGTACTTCCTGTAAGTGGGATTCTGCTGTGTGTTTTTAAATAAATGTTATAACTTTCTGTGCCTTGTTTTCTAGGACAACCTTTCCTCCATGTCCTTCTGAGCTGGTCCTGGGGAAATAGGCTGTAAAGAGAGACTTGTGTCCATAAATCCCCATATCCATACTTTTCTTTTCACACATCTGAGGACCAGCTCACTTTCTGCTTCTCACTGGCCCAGATTTGCCTTTAAGATCCCTGCCTTCCCCAGCTCCTGTTTTATCCCCTGCTTCCTCAGGTCTCCAGCTACTTGGGATTCAGGGCTGGTGCTGGAAACTGTGGCAGTCCGGGGTTATTTTCTGATCCTTGGGAATGTGGGCTGGATGAGCCAAGGGAGTGTGTGAACAGCAAGGGGTTGGGAGCCAGGGATGGAGGCTCCCACATTTCCCTTAGCACAGAATCTGGCCAGGTGCTTGGATGGGATGAGATTCCTGCTGGTGCAGCCTTGGGAAAGAAAGGATGAGTCCAAACAGGTGCTGGAGAGACTGCATAGCACCAGGAGGACAGGTAAATGGGATGGGAATCCTCGGGTGGATTCCTGCAGCTCCCAGCATTGCCTGGAGGTTCCAGCAGCTTCACTTTATTTTTGGTTCCCATTGACTGGAGTTGGCTGCGCGCAGCCCGAGCCCAGCTGGACGATTACTCATTTCCATATCCATTCCATCATTTTTAATGGTCTCTGCTGGGTCACGGAATCAATTCATGAGCTTTTCTTGTAAAACATCCCCTCCTCTTAATGTGCTCCAGGTTTCTGTGTGAGCAGGGGAGGAATCAGAGGTGGCTCGGGAGGATGCAGGGGCTGGAAGCTGAGCCCGAGCTCGGTGAGTGCCAGGAGTGAGTTAACCCTCGTTATCAGTAGTTAATGTGCCATTGACTGGCTCTGCCTGCTGCCATCTCCCTTCCGAGAGCGCCTGGAAAACCGCAGCTGCCCAAGGTCAAAAGCTATCTCGAGTTTTCCTTTTAAAATGCAATTAGGGGTCAGTGCCTGGCATTCCTCAGAAAAAAAAGGAGTTTCAGCCGCCAGGCTGCAAAACAGCCGCAGTTTCTGTGTGCGGAGGGGTGCAGGTACTAAATGAGGATTGCTTCAATGCCTTCCCTCCGTCCACTTCCCAGAGCATCTCAGATCGCAGGGAGGTCACACCGGGAGGGGCTGCGAGCATTGCAAAACGAGCTGGTGAGAGGAAAAAAAAAAAAAAAAAAAAACCGGGAAGGATCTTTTGGAGTGAGAACTCCAGCCAGGAGGGTGGGAAATGTGATTTGCATTTGGTAACTACAAACACACATCGCCTGGGGGAAAGGAGAGGAGCCACAATAGCAAGGAATGCCCAGGGGAGCTGTCGGGATCCCTCCTAGAGAGGTCCCGTTGGAATTTCTGCCTGGGAAAAGGCAGGGTCAAGTGCTGAATATGCAGAATCCATTCCTCCTCTCCCTCCTTGACTCAAAGCCTGACAGTTGGGAAAAGACTGGAGGAGTCATTGTGCAGCAGGAATCCTGCGGGAAATGGGAAGGAGCCGGAATTAGCTGGGGAGTGCAAAGGATCAGGCTGGCAGGAGGTGACAGCTCTGTGACAACGCTCTCAGTGGGAGCTGCTGGAATCCGGGCCCACACCTGGAATTAGGAGGGATGTGAGATTTACATGGCTGGGAGCATCCCGCAGGAATTGGGAGCCTGAGGATGGATGCAGTGGGAATGATCCCTGTGCTGGTCCCCAGGGGTTTTAAGGGAGTAATGTTGGTGTGAACGTGGTTATTTGTTGCTGGTCAAATTTGTACAAACAATAAAGTCTGGGGGAAGGCGAGTGATTTTCATGGAATATTTTTATTTTGTTGTTAAAACACGGATTTGTTTTTCTTTTTATTTCCCTATTCATTGAGGGATTCTGCATAACTCATTCCAGGAGGATACTATGAGTAAGGGCAGCAAACCATTGGTAATTAAGTTTTTGGAGGAAGGATGACTCTGTGTTCAGGGATATGTTGGAACATTTCTTCTGCACAGCTCTGGAGTGCAGATCCCACTGGAATGTGGATCAGGACCTGCACCTGCTTTTCCTTGTACTGCTCACTGACCTGAGTGAGAAGGAGGAGAAAGCACAGGATGGAGCTCAGCTGTGGATGGATCAACATCTCACAAAATCAGGGAATCCTGGAATGATTTGGCTTGAAGAGGCTTTAAGCTCATCCAGTTCCACCTCCTGGCATGAGCAGGGAACCTTCTCCTAGCTCAGGTTGCTCCAAGCCCTGTCCAACCTGCATTGCTGGGAATATTTGGGGGATGTTGCTGTGACCTTTGGGGTGGTTGGTCTATGCACCACCACACCACAAGACAGACACATGAGTAAAAGCTTGTATTTAAGGAAAAACCCTTCCCTCTCTGTTCTCCTTTATTCCCGAGGTGCTCAGCAGTGTCGTGGTGCTCTAAGGATGACAAACAAAAAGAGGGATTGTCCAAGTGGGGATCTTCAGCAGAGGGACAGGGACAAACAGGGGTGAGTAAGAGCCATAAGATCCGAGGGGGCACCAGCTGCAGCCTGAGGAATTTTGGGTGTAGTTCTGGTAGAGGCTGCAGAGGATTCAGAGGGGAAGCAGCTCTCCATCCCTTGGAATCATGGAATTCTTGGATTATTTGGTAGGAGGGACCTTAAAGCCCATTTTGTTCTATCCTCTGCCATGGGTAGTGACACCTTCCCCTATCCCAGGGTGTTCCAAGCCCCATCCAACCTGGACTTAGACACTCCCAGTGATGAAGCAGCCACAGCTTCTCTGGAAAATCCATTCCAGGGCCTCCTCATCCTCACAGGAAAGGATCTGATTTCTCCCAGGCTGGGCAACATTCCAGCAGGAAGGGAGCCTGAGGAGCAGAGCAGACACTGATGTGGCCACGAACCACACTGGGGCTGCCATCCCACCGGGAATATCCAGGAGATCCTCCCGTCAGCCCAGACCTGGAACCAGACAGGTTTTGAGGACTCACAGCACTCCTGGGTTCTGTGAGTAACAATTCATTGCACAATCTGACACGGGAATGAAGAAAACAAACAGAATAAATCGTAAACTGAGTCATCCTCAGAGGCTGAGTTAGAATTACTCAGGAGTAAGGAGCAGTAGTAGTGGTTACTACATCCATACTTTGCTCACAGCCAGGTCAATCACACATATTTCTAAGGGAAATAACCTGCTCTTAAAAGCAGATTTAACCTTAACCTGCCTGATGCCTGGTTGAATTTTAGAGATTTTAGGAGCAAAATAAATGAAGAAAAAAATGGGAAAAAAAAAAAAATTTTTCATGCATGTGATAGAGATTTACTTTAAAAAAAAAAAAAAAAAAAGAGAGGGAGAGAAAGTTTGCATGTCCCACTCGTATTGTAGAAAAACTAGAGAATAGGAAGGTGCAGTGCTTAAACAAATAAATTGATATTTATTGACATCCAGTACTACACTATCAAGGATCTGCACTGTGCACCCCTTTTATACAGCGGGAAAACAGATGGTTTCTGCCAATTTATCTAATTATCCACATTTTTTTCCACTTTCCCAGACTCCATCTCAGCGCTCCCTGCCAGGACCCGTGCGGGCCGGCGCATCAGGCAGGTCCTGGCAGGGAAAAATGTGAGGGCACCGGAGGCCTCTGAGCGCTCCCGGCCGGACCGAGCCTCTCCTGCCGGCGGTGCCCGCCCGCCATGGGGGTTCCGGGAGGCTCCAGGGCCGCGGGGCGAACGCGGAACCATCACGGCACCCACCGGGCCCGCTGCCCCTCAGCCTGCCCTCACCAGCATGGCAGCACCCGCGCCCCGGCTGTGTCTGTGCCCTCCCCAAGATGGCGCCCGCCGTAACCATAGCCGTGACCTCCCCAAGGTGTCGCCCCGTGTTGTGGCTATGGCAATGACCTCCTCAAGATGGCGGTCGGGGCGGGTACGGTCGCGCCAGACCGCGCCGGAAGTGGCGGCGGAGCCGTTCCCGGCCTATGATGGCGGAGGCGGGCGCGGGCGGCCCCCGGCTGGCGGAGCTGCTGGCTTTGGGACGGCGGCTCTGGGACGAGCTGGAGGCCAGCGCCGAGCCGTCCTCGGGAGCCCCGGCCGTGCAGGACAAGGTGCGGCAGGGCCTGGACGCGCTGCAGCGGGCGGCGGCCATG